ATAAAATAAAATAAAATAAAATAAAATAAAATAAAATAAAATAAAATAAAATAAAATAAAATAAAATAAAATAAAATAAAAAATAAAATAAAATAAAATAAAATAAAATTATTAAAAAAAAATCAGGCTGTAGGCAAGCCTGTGAGGCATTTCCATGATTAGTGATTAATGGGGGAAGGCCCAGCCCATTGTGGGTGGTGCTACCCCTGGGCTGGTGGTCCTGGGTTCTATATAAAAAACCAGGATGAACAAGCCAGTAAGCAACATCCCTCCATGGCCTCAACATCAATTCCTGCTTCCAGGTTCCTTCCCTGCTCAAGTTCCTGTCTTGAATTCCTTTGATGATGAACTGTGATGTGGCAGTGTAAGCTGAATAAACTCTTTCCTCCCCAAGTTGCTTTGATCATGTTGTCTTCACAGCAGCAGTGACCCTAAGACATAACCCATGAGACAGATGCACCCCATGAAGACAGGATGCACCCCATGAAGACAGGATGCACCCTGAAGACAGATGCATCCTGAAGACAGAAGGCACCCCATGAAGATGTATACCACCCAAAGACACAGTACCATTGTTCCAAAAAACCCTTTCACCCTATGGACAGCTGCTTCCTGCTTCAATTCTAGATAACCACAGGGCTGATTCTGCCATCACAGACTGGCCTTGCCTCTTCTAGAACTCCATGTACATGAGCCACACACCTATAGTCTTGAGCCTGGCTTCTTTTGCTCAGACTGTCCGATGATCCATGCTTCTGCATTATAAGATGCTTGTTTCTGAATCAATTTCCACCACATAAATATATTACACAGACCTACTATAGACATTTGGGTTGTTTCCAAATGAGGTGGTATGCCTGTATCCATTTGTTAAAAATAATTTTCTGTTGTTTTTTTTTTTGGTTGTTTATTTTAGGTTTGGCTTGTTTTGTTTCCGTTTTTTAAACATATAACCTAGGCTAGCCTCCACCTCTCTTATTGGAGGCTGAGAATAACAATGAACTTCTAACCTTCCTGCCTCTACTTCCCAAGTGCTGAAATTACAGGCATGCACAGCACATGCCCACTTTTATGAGGTGCTTGGAATTGAAGTCAGAGTTTCACTGAATTCTAGGTAAGTACTCTTACCAACTGAGCTACCTCCTCAGCCCAAAACATTTCTCCTTCCCTTGAGTAAATAACTGAGTGTGAAAGCATAAAGCCATGCCATTATTTTATATGAAATTGTCAAACTGCTTTCTAAAGCAGTACACCATTAACATGCTTTCCTGGCAGCAAAGCACAAGGTACCTGTCCTCTCAGCCACCTTCTGGGGATGTGCTACCAGTCTACTGGGATTTGTTTGCAGTTTTTTCTGTGATAGTGCCACACATCTCTTCACAAGCATCTTATTTCACATTTCCTTCCTTCCTGACCTCCTTTTCTTTTAGAGACAGGTCTCATATATCCTAGGCTGGATTTAAACGCCTATCAAAGTATGACTTATAAACAGTAAAATGTGAGCATTTTAGCAGTATTAGATTCTAATACAATGGAGTTGAAAATGACCTTGAAGTTTTGATCCTGCCTTGATCCCAAATTGCTTGACCTAAAAACCGCTCAGATTATATTTGGTTTATTCCTTGTGGAATCCTCTCTTCAAATCCTTTGCCTATTTTTAAAATAAGGTTCTTTCTGCTGCTGTTCCTAATCTCCCCAGTCTAATACCTTGCAGTTACTTCTCCAAACCTCAAGGTAAAATCTAAGTTGACCCAGTTCATGTCCTCAGCACTCTATACAGACCCTCTGCAGTTGACACTGAATTCCCTGCCATTTTTTATCCCCAGGCCTGTGGATACCCTTCCTTCCCTGAGAAGGATACCCAGGGCCTTCCCTGAGAAGTTTCCCTCTATCATGTATCTGCTAAGGCCAGTGGAGCTCTTTCTTAGGGGTTCTCTGTCTGAGGGCCTCAGTATTCTTTATTCTTCCCTCAACCTCCACCACTGAACACAAGGTGGCCACATGCTAACTTCAAATAAATAAATCAATGATGGAAAGAACTAGGAAAAAAACAAAACAGAACAATGAGTCAAGGTAGTAAAATGGGCTCCTCCATTTCTTAACACATACACCAGGTCACCTATCTGCCAGCACACAGTAACTCAGTTATCACAGAATTGTGTAGAGAAGCAGGAAGCAACCCATATCACTGACTGTGAGGACAGCTACATGGGCCCCTGGGCACCAAACTCCCACTATCCTCTCCTCTATCTCCTGAAAAGTTCCAGGCAGTGCAATAGGAGCAAAAGCTCAGCTAACTTCCAAAGGCAGTGACTACACCCAGCAGTTACTAAATGGCAGACTCACTCTGAGCAGTTCCTAATACACCATTTAGTTCTGAACTACAGGAGGAAAGGCTATCACAATCACCTTTTTAAAGGAAACTGAGGCATGAGGTTAAGATATACAAGATTACAGAGCACTTGGGCAACAAAGCCAGTACCCGAGGCGTGGCCACCTACTCTGTAGTCTGTGCCCTTAACCATGACACTTGACAAGAACATGTACTGACATACCAGAGCAGCTACTGGGAGAGGGGTCTTAAGCAAAGCCATCAGCTATGTTATACCTATGTCCACCAGGCCCTCCCATTCCACAGGGACTGACAATCAGATCCACACACAAAGGCCCTTTCATTATTTCTGGAAAATATTCTAGTGTCTCCTTGGAGTGAAGAGCCAGTATAAATCTTCCTTATCCCTAAAAATGAATGCTGAGGTCCAAAAGCCATAAGGCAAGTAAGCATGGAGCACCTACCAGATCACAAGGCTTGAGTCTTTGAGATGACTCAGGGGGTAAAGGCATTTGTCAAGCCTGACAACCTATTTTAATTCCTAGAATCCACATTGAAGAAAAAAATTTATTTCCACAAGTTGTCTTTTCCACATGTGTGCATGGCACACACACATGGACCCACATATACCTACACCAAATAAAAATTTTTAAATGTTTAAAACACATACGCACACAAGCAGTCTCCATTTATTCCTTGGTTGTACCTATACCACCCTTCCTTACCTTGATCTCCAACTTATGGTTAATAGCCAGTGCAGAATGCTCTAGAGCTTTAATGACAGAGGCGTACGAGTCTGAGAATTTGGTGTATTTGCCTACAAGAGCAATAGAGCAGGTCTCCAGCAAGCGATCATATCTAGCAAATAAGAGTTAAGACAGTTACTTGTAATGTCCACACCATCATGAGACTGAAAAAATTTCTGCAGGAGGAAACATGCCTGCAGAGACGATAATCAGAGACTATCACCTCAGTACTATACACAGAACAATAAACAGGAGCCTTAGATAACAGGGCAGGCTCTGCAGAGAGAGTGGGATTTGAAGCTAATGATGACTCAGGGGGTAAAAGCACCTTCTACAAAAGCCTGACAATCGGAGCTCTATTCCCAGAACCCACGGTAGAAAGGAAAACCAGATCCCCACAAGTTGTCCTCTGACCTCCACATATACACTGTAGCCATACACACACTCAAGCACACAAACATAAAATAAATGTCATAAAAAATTAATCAACTAAACAAATAATTCATAAGAGTTAATGTGATAAGTCAAATTATAGTATAGTCATGGAAAAAATGTCCATACTCATTAAGAATTTCCATTTTAAGGCATAATAACAGACTGACAATATTTCATGTTTTATAAAAACAACTATTAAAAACTACAGGCCATTTTTATAGTTACATGTTAATGGACACAAAAGATATCCACATAATGGCCAAAACCCAAAAAGGAAACTGTCAAGAGTAAAAAGCAGTTATCAAAGACAACAAAATGAGCGCTCTGCGCCCTCTGTGTGCACTTACATCACAGTGACTTTCCAGCTATAGTTGGGTCACCCTGCTCTAGGGCATGAGTAAGTATCTTAGAAATGAGACAACCTCAGAGCTTCAGGACAAGTTGGCAATAGTCCACCCCTGCTCAGCCCTTTCTGGCTGAGTGAATGGAATGTTCCCAAACACATCTCAGATATCAGTGATACGACAGAAACAATGCAGTCAAAGCCAGCATTCGTGTGGGCTCTGGGATTCTGTGTACCCTGCTCTGTGCTGTTGAGCTGATGACATAGTACAGCACAATGCTGTAATCTGAACTCACTGCCCAGAGGTCTGGGAAGAGGCCCAGCCTGGCCAGGCCTCCTCCTCTGTACTATGACCGCATGATGGTTATAAACCCTTATTTGTTAACCTTCTGAACATCTCTTCCCATGAGCACCTTTTCTACCAGCAGCACTAACACAGCATTACAACATGGTGGTGGCCCTACAAAAGATTAAGGCATGCATGCCCAGCTACATAAGAGGAGGCAAACCTGTCTGCCATCTCCTTCCACTTCATCAGCATTTTCCGTGACTGTCTCTCAATAGGAAGATCAAGTCTCCGCAGAAAGTAGTCTACAACCCCTTGCTCTTCCAACAACAAGGGTACCCGGTAGATGGAAGAAACATCATGGACACAGATCACCTGTTAAACAACAGTGATTTAATAAGAACAAATAACTGGGGTTACATCTATATGCCTTCTATTTGGGGAGGGGGGTGATGATTTCTAGAAAAAGATAAACCTCCACAACTGACTCAAGAACAGAAAATAAGTGGCTAAGCTATTATGAACATACATGCAAAAATCCTTTTAAAGGTTTTTTTTTTTTTTTTTTAAAGATCCTTTTGAAAAGAGGTAGATGTGGTGGTACATACTTGTAATTCCTGCACTCAGGAGGCTAAGACGGGAAGCATAAGTTAGAGGCCAGCTTAGGCTATCTCATAATACTTATCTTAAAACAACAAAAATATGCTCACAGAGGACCTGTTCCTGGATCTATAGATAGCTTAAATCAATAATTCTCAAACTCAACTGTACAGGACAATCTCTGAGGGAGTTTGTAAAAATTCCTAATCTATGCTGTATCTACAGCCGCTTAGGTCTGAATCTCTGGAGGTGGGAGGCTCCCCACTCATTTCAGTGTGCAGCCAAATTTGAAATCCACTGCCATTTTTAGGTAGAATTTGGCTATTCTCCCATGAGAAATCTGGATTTTAAAATAGATACAGAAATAAAAAATAAAAGTAGATATGGTACATGAAAGTAGAAGGGGGTTCACCTAGTAGGGAAAGGTTGAAGACCAACAGGAAATGGGAAACAAGAAAGTTAAAAAAAGGAGGGGGGTAAATTCAGGCTAGGCAGTAGTGGCACATGCCTTTAATCCTTATACTTAGGAGGCAGATGGAGGATCTTTGAGTTTGAGGGCAGCCTGGTTTACAGAGTGAGTTCCAGGACAGCCAGGGCTACACAGAGAAACCCTATCTCAAAAAACATTAATTAATTCAAAGTTCATGATATATACTTATGGAAATGTTATAAAAAAACCCATCCTTCTGTATAATGAGATGTGCCAATAAGAAGAGTAACAATGGAATATATCACATGAGCACATTAAAAAGGAGAAAAATAAGATCATCTCTATGGATACAGACTACTGAAATTCAGACTATTGTTCATAATAAAAAATTTAGGTAAATTAAGACTAAGGAAACTCTGAAAATATAAAACAGCCATAGTCTGACACTTAATACTCCTGCTTACCATTAAAAGTCTAGGGAACTAAAAAAGAACAAGAAGGAGGAACCCTGTCACAATTAAAAGTCTAGGGAACTAAAAAAGAACAAGAAGGAGGAACCTTGTCACAATTCAGGTGCAGGAACTGTCACCCATTATGGTCAGACAAAGAACACAATATGATTTTAAAACCCAAAAGCGGGGGCTGGAGAGATGGCTCAGCGGTTAAGAGCACTCACTGTCTGCTCTTCTAGAGGTCTTAAGTTCAATACTCAGCAACCACATGGTGGCTCACAACCATCTATACTGGGATCTGATGCCCTCTTCTGGCATGTAGATTACATGCAGATAGAGCTCTCATACACTGAAGGAAAAAAAAAAAAAAGCAACTTGTACTATATGCATGTGTCACTACTGCCCATGTGCGCCCATAAAAGACAAGAGAATTACAGATAACTGTATCTAACAATTTTAGTAGGATGCTAGACTACAGATCAAAAGAAATAATCAGGGTGCCTTACATGTGGACCATTTCTAATCAAAAATACAATTTCTGAAAATATTCACTATAGTAACAAAAGTTATGAGGTCATACATAAATCTAAAGTTTATGAAGCAAATCTTACATACAATGCAAAAAATGATTATCATGATAGCCCTTTCAACAAACAGGGCTACATACCTGGATATACATACACAAAAAGATGGTTTTTCATATCTTATCTAACACTACACAAACACCAACTCAAGATGGATCTGGTATGATATAAACCTTTCCAGAAAGTTGAGAAAAATCTTCATGATAGTGATTAATCAGAGTTCTTAAATAACCAAAAAGCAGCACAACCCACAAAAGAAAACACTGAACATTTAAAATCTTTTGTGATCCTTTAAGAGCATAAAAAGATGACAGAGGCTGAGAAAAAAAACTGCAAATCACATACCTGACAAAAAGACTACATTCAGACTAACCTCTTAGAACTTGAAAAACAATCTAATGTTTAAAATAGATAAAAGATCTGAAATCCACATCTGTTATAAACATGGAAATACTTATCACAGCATATAACAGTGAGGAGTTTTCATAGCTCTTGTTTTTTTTTTCCCCACATTTTTTGTTTTTTGTTTTTGTTTTTATTTGGCTGTTCTGGAATGAGCTATGTAGACCAGGCTGGCCTCAACTCAGAGAGATATACCTGCTTCTGCATCCCAAATGCTAGGATTAAAGGCATATACCACCACACCCAGAATTATTTGGTTTGGCTTGGTTTTCGAGACAAGGTTTCTCTGTGTAGCCTTGGCTGTCCTGGAACTCACTCTGTATACCAGACTGGCCTCAAACTCAGAGAGATCCTCCTGCCTCTGCCCCTTGAGTGCTGGGATTAAAGGCATGCACCATCATAGCCCAGAATGAGAATAATTCTTATGAAAGTCAATTCTGCAAAACTAAAAAAAATAAATAAAAAAGGAATCCCCCCTCACTTCTTCACTTGTGGAGACAGAAATACCTGAAATAAAGTACATAATAAAGGGCCCCTGTGAAAAAATGAAAATCATTCTGTGTTCCACGAGTTGAGTATGGAAGGAGAACCCTGGCTTAGGAGTCACACAAGGAGCCTGACCCCAGCCTTTACCCCAAGGCCTGAGTCCTCATGGAGAAGTCCTCTGTAAAGATCAAGGAAATTTCCTGTGGCACCATGCATGCCAATGCCAGGCCAATGATCTGAACTGCCCCCTTTACCGAAGTCTCCTCACAGTTTCATTAAGTGGACTGCTCTCACTTTAAGGTTCCTGTCTTGCTGTTCCCACCTCTCCTGACCCTCAGTCATGGAGCAGTAAAACTCTACATACTCGCATCTGGAAAATCCTTGCCTACATCTTTCTTCTGCTCTCCTTCAGGCAATTCTTTGTGCTATGGTTTCCACATGATTTGGAGCCCCTCAAGCGCCATTTGTGCCTGAAGGGTCAGGCCTACACTGGCATAACTGGAAGGTGCTGGGGAACTCTTAAGAGCAGACTTAGGAGATCCTTGAGACATTTGGAATCCTGCCCTTAGAAAGAATTAAGACACTCTTCCTATAACCCTTGGAATTCCCACAAGAAACCTAGTCCCTCCATCTCTCTGCAGCCAGGAATTCATCTTTCCACCCCCACACACCACCTACCACCACGGGACCTTCCCAGAATCTGTACTATGCTACTTAGACTTTCAGTCTCCAAACTATAATAAACCTTCTTTCTTTATTAATTAGTTGCCTCAGGATTTTGCTTGTAAGAATGAAAAGCTGGGGCTAAAGACATGGCTCAGCTGTTAAGAACACTAGCTGGGGCTGGAGAGATGGCTCGGCAGTTAAGAGCACTGTCTGCTCTTCCAGGGGTTCAATTCCCAGCAACCACATGGTGGCTCACAACCATCTATACCCTCTACTGCCCTCTTCTGGCCTGCAGGTGCACATGTAGATAGAGCACTAATATGCATAAAAGAAATAAATAAAATCTAAAAAAAAAAAACAAAAATATTGGCTGTTCTCCCAGGGGACCTAGCTTCAAGTCCCAACACTCACAGCCACCTTATGCACAGATATACATGCAGGTCAAACACTCATACACATAATCTTTTTTTTTTTTTTTTTTTGGGGGGGGGGAGGTTCAAGACAGAGTTTCTCTGTGTAACCTTAATCATCCTGGAATTCACTATGTAGACCAGGCTGACCTCAAACTCAGACAAATGCCTGTCTCTGCCTCCAAAGTACTGGGATTAAAGGCATGTGCCATCACCACCTGGCCATAAATTAAAAAAAAAAAAACCACACACTGGCCAATGCCATAAGCTCTATTTATGTCCACTAGTGTTTCCATAAATAAGCAGCATACTTAGATACCACAGGATCTATCAGCACAGTAACAGACTAAAATGCATGTGGCAGCCCCAGCACCCTGGATACTAGGTTACAGAGACATAAAATGGATTGCACATGTATGTGTACACATCAAGGTGCACAAGCCAGGCTCACAACCAGCATATCTGAGAGATACAAGCAGCCCAGAGACAGAAGTGATTGGCCCTGAGGATTAAGAAGGGTGTGGTAAAAGCTCTGCATAAGTACTTAGGCAGGCAAGCACAAGGCCCCACATTTGCTTTGGGGTTATGTACAACAGCCCCTGAGAATTTGCCTTTAATGCCATGCTCAGCAACCTTGTTCCTTCACTTGCATATATTATGCATCTTCAAACATTGCACCTTCCAACCTCGGATTCCCCCAACCCCCAACCTGTACCAAGCTACATGTAGTATCAACTGAGAAATGTCTCTGCCAGTGAAGTGAAACAATCATATTTAGACAGTTTGTAGTAAAAAAAAAAAATTCCAATGTATCAAGGTATGAGAAATAAAAGCTGATCTGGACTAAACTGGTTTTGGGTGTACATGCTCAAGTGAGGCAAAACTGTATTCTCCATCAATCTTTTTGGGAGAATCTATTTACCATCTTATGACTCGGTGTAATTGGATATGCATATGTTTAAAATTAGACAAATTGTGGGAAAAGACATGTACACTAAAAAAAAAAAAAAAAAAAAAAAAAAACAAAAACATATGACCTAATCTATCAATCCAAACTCTACCCTTTAGGTCTAACTTCTCCTTATCTTGAACTCTATACAAGGAAGTTCTGAACAGTAACTGGGTCCTTGAGTACTCTGACTCATATGACTCACAGTCGGTCTTTTAAACACTTTGCTCTGAAGTTAGCTTGGTTCATTCTGAGATTTTTTTCAATTCTGTGGATAAGAAGCCAAAAACCTAGCCCAGACCCTGAACACTGTTGGTAACACTGTGTCCTAGCTAAACCCTTAATGATAAAAAGAACAAGAGATGCTGGGCCAACAGAAACAGGGCACTCTGGTTCCTAAATAGGAACTACCAAGAGCAAAACCAAAGCAATAGCTAGGATGGGAGTACACACCTGCAATCCCAGCACTTTGAAAGACTGAATGAACTACAAAGTAAGACTTTGCTTCCAAAAACTAAGGGGGGAAAAAAACAACCCAGTTGGAGATAGCTCAATGGTCAAAGAACTTGACAAGGTCTTGGGATACCAGAAATACAGTAGGACCCTAGAGACATAGACATTGACCCCAGACAGCATAAGAACATGAGATGGGAGAAAAGAAGAAAAGTTGTGTTAAGATCTAAAGGAAAGTCTTTCTGTCTCTTAATTATGACATAACAAGTCTTGAAAAGTGGATCATAGTCCAGGCTTTAGGCAATTAGAAGTAAAAAGCCATTTCCAGAGCTGAAATTTTACTTACTTGTTCAGGTTCCACATGGCAGAACATTGATATTTTCTCTTTCACAGACGTATCAAGAGGATTTGAGCACCTGCACACCACCTAACAATTAAGAAAACAAGGGACTTTGAGCAGAAGGAAGTGTCAAAGCAGGGCTTCTCCACAACTGGAATTAAAATAAGAGATGAAAATGCCACAACTGGAATTAAAGTAAGAGATGAAAATGTCGGGTTTTTTTTTGTTGTTGTTGTTGTTGTTTCTGTTTTGGGCTTTTTGTTTTTTGGTGGTTTTGCTTTGTTTTGTTTTTCGACACAGGTTTCCTCAGTGTAGACTTGGCTGCCCTGTAAAAGGAACTTTTATTTGCCTGATACAGAGGCTCACTGCCTCCATCTGTTAATCTAGGCCTAGTCCTAGAAACTTCTAGCCTCCAATCTAACCTAGGCCTACAATCTAACCTAGGCCTAGAATGTTTCAGCCTCCGAAACCTAGTGCTTAATAAGCTCACCCTTTCTTGTTCTTGCTGTGTGCTCACTGGTGTAACTCTGCTATTCTGACTCAAACTCCTCTCCCAGCTGACTTATTCAGTCTGGCTTTTCTCTCGGCCTCTGAATTGGTCTGCTTGGCCTCAAACTAACTCCAGCAATCTGCTCTCATTTCCTGGCTCCTTATTTTCTGGCTCATTCTGCTTTCACCAGTGTATAGTTTGTTCTCTCAGCAGCTGTTGTTCCTTTTTCATTAGCACTTAAAAATTTAAAGTTAATAAAGTACTGTGTAATCTATCTCTCGGGGTCTTTATTACCCCTTTCCATTTATTAAGCATATCTTAAAGTGTGATTAGATCTTTCTATAATTGCTTACCCTGAAGGATTGTGTGATATACCTATAATATGCTATATGTTGTAATATGCAAAAAAAAAAAAACAAAACAAAAAAAAAAAAAAACCCTGTTTCATTTTACTAGAAACATGCAGGAGAATTGTCAGTCTTAATCTGTACAGGTATTCCCATAATAGCCATAACTTCTAATAATTGTATAATCATAGAATCAGCCTTTTAAGAACTTTAAGCAGTTGCCCATTGAAATCCTGATTATGTATCTATGATATGATACACATACTTTAATTTTCCAAACTATGCAAAACAAAACACATCCATTTGCCAAACTTCAATTCTTTGGGTACCCTTTGTGTTACTTCCTGCAGGTAATGGAGTTTGAGTATGCAATGAACAAGTAGGACATTGCCTTATAATTAGCTTGTTGCCAAGTGATAGAAAAATCTTTCTTCAAACCTTTGTTGTTAACATGGTGTTTCTTATGAAATTCTGAGGCTTCTAGCACATTTCCTAGTAACAGCTGATAATTTCATCATTACTTTGTGCTGGAGGGCCTAGTAGACCTGTATGAGATTTGATGTATTATATACAATGGATGATTTCTATTTCTTATTATTACTTGTTGTAGTTGAATAGATAGTGAAGTTAGTTCTGAATCATCTGGAATAAACCCAGCAGTTTCAATATGTAAAACAACTCTTTCTGCATATTGCGAGTTAGTCAATGTTAACAGTCATGAAAATCACATAATACTATATGAATGGCATACAATTCTGATTTTTGAACTGAATCATAAAGTGGGGTCTAAAACACTTTACTTAAATTTCCTGACTTATAAACGTGCCTTTCCTGATTTATTTGGTAAAAATGTAGGTGCTCCAGAAATTGTTGTCCTTTTTACTATATGAAGGAGAATCCAAGTAGTTCTTTTTATAAATTGAAGTCTCTTATTTTAGGATATTTGTTGGTAATCTCTCCCAAAAAATTACTGCAGGCTCTTTGCCAGTGTTCATTTTCTGCCCATAATGAGACAGTTTCAGCATTAGTAAAAGGTACAACAGTTTCTGCTGGGTTTATTCCTGCTGGTTGGCAAAGTCTCATTTTTCCTTTCAGAATCAATTCAGAATCTTTTCTACATAGGTCTTTAATTTTTTACTGTTTATGTGCTTAAAAGTACCCACCCTAAGATATTATCTTTTCTTTGTATAAGAATTCCCATGGGAGAATGAGTAGAAGGCAAAATAATACAATCCAGCTTTGTATCCAAGCAATCCACATGTGAGTCTTGTAGTTTCTTTTCTATCAGAGCCAATTCTCTCTCAGCTCAGATGATAATTTTCTTGAACTATTTAAGTCCTTATCACCTTGTATGGTTTGAAATAGATTACTCAACTCTTGCGTAGTTAATCCAGTTGTGGCCCACAGTCATTTTCTATCTCCCAAATGAAAATGTCAGCTCTAAGCACAGTGCACATGATCCTATCTATAACACTATCTGTTTTTACACCAAAATTCCTACATCCCAAGGAGAGCATGAGAGACAACAAAGAGGAAACAAGTAAACTACAGGAGCTAACTAATTGGTTTTCCTCCTCCTTAATGTTCTTGAAAGGAATTTAGGACTGTAAGAAGCAAGACATGGGAAGTACAAGGCTTCACATATGCCAGCAAGAAAATCACAAACTCCAGCCCCATTCAAAGCACTATTTTGTTCCACCATCAAACACAAGCTGACAAATTCCATCCTGCCAGAGAGGCCAGATTTTAATCAGAGGTGAGAGATGACACCAAAACAGACACTTAGGAAATCTTACCAAGTCTGGAGAAAGCCCGAGTCCTCTAAGCTCCCGAACACTGTTCTGGGTAGGTTTTGTCTTCTGTTCCCCTGTTGAACTGGGCTGTTTAAAAAAAGAAAAATGAAGTGGCTCAATTCTCTATGGCTTTTCTCTACCCCTCTGAATGGGGAATTTGGTTGTACAGCTCAGCCTTGATTTGTAGTGAAGGTACACATGCACATATTTTAGAGTCTACTGGGTCTATGGGGTTTGGCTTAACAGACAGTATTACATGTCCTCCATTCCTCCGAACCCTACAGATAATGGCTTTGTTTATAGCTATATTTGAGGCAGAACTGAACCAGGGCTCAGTCCACACTAAGGACAAAAGTTACCACTGAGATGACCCCGGTCCATGCTAACTCAAGTCTTCTGCCGCTCTTCACTGCTACTTCTCAGCATTCATCTAAGGCAAGCTCTGCTAAGTTCTCTCCTTCCTGAGCCATGACACCATCCCATTCAGCTGTGCACACTTTTGAGTATCTAAAGACCTGATTAGATAAGCCATGTGCCATACTTTTGTCTATAGTAAATTATCTTTATCGTCTTCCCACACTTAAGAGAAATCTGCTGGGTTTAGAGTTTAGACTCTTCCCTTAGTGGTTCTCAACCTGTGGGTTGCAACCTATTCACAGGTTTCACCTAAGACCATCAAAAAACAGATATTTACATTACGATTCATAACAGTAACAAAATTACGGTTTGAAGTAGCAATGAAAATAATTTTATGGTTGAGGGTCACCACAATACGTGAGGAACTTTATTAAAGAGTTGCAGCATTGGGAAGGTTGAGAACCACTGCCTCAGAATGTTTAATGCCATGGCTTCCCTTTCCTCTAACTCCTAGTTTTGCCATACTGACCTTTGATTCCCCCTCTCCTCCCACCCCCCCGCCCTCTTAGGGCCTTGAGATCTTCTGCTCCATTATTCTGTACTCTGAGTTAAGAACCTCAGTGCTGGCCATTTTATATCCAACATAGTAAACCCTCAATGGGCTCTTTCAATCTGGAAACTGTGTCTTTAAGTTTCCTTGTTTAGATAAGAATTCAGAAAACTCTGCAAAGAAGGCCCATAATAACTATCTTAGGTTTCAGCCTTACATCATGGCTCATGCACAATAGGAAACTGAGGCAGGAAGACTGATAAAAGTTCAAGGCCAGCAGCGTAGACTACACAGTGAATCCAGGCCAATATGCTACATTATCACACGTCTACCTCAAAAGCCCCTATTATTATTTCTGGTTTTTATTATTTTGAACTTTGTGGACCATATGTTTTGTCATATATATTCAGCTTTGTTGTTTCAGTATAAAAGCAGCCCTAGATGACACATCAACCAAGGAATATAGCTTTATTTCCATCAGACAAGCCTATTTTTAAAAATAGCCAATAAGTACCCCTTGGCCTCAGCTACAACCTGAAAACCTGTTCTTCAGGCCTCATTTCTTTGTTCTAATTTTCAAGATATCCTGTGCTATATAACACATCTGGACCAATTCTCTAACTTTCTTACCTCTTCTCTCCTATTTTCTGTCTCTGCCCTACCTCCTGGGTATTTCCTCAGCTTCTCTCCTTCTTACTTTCATCTGTTTATCCAATTCTTAACTTCAATTCTTGCCTGCCAATTCAATTATGTTCCTATATTACACTGTCCAGTTCCTGCTGAGCACATGCAGTCACTGGTGGGCTGCTAGTTCCCTATGAAAGACAGCATTGGGGAGCCTTAGGCAGTGTCTTCTAGACTAGCCACATGAAACTTAAGTCTCGGACTTCCCACATGGAGGAGTCAAGCCTGCCTTTGAAGACTCTGGAAACCAACAGGTAGAAAACAGCAAGGCATCTTGGCCACACAGCATGTCAGCTTCACTGCTCTCAACCTCCATAGTGTCTGCTTGTCAAGAAAACCTCTCCAGGGCTATCTAGCTTTTTTTTTTTTTTTTAATAAGACAGCTTGTTTTACTTAAGATTTATTTATTATTTACAGTGTTCTGCCTGCATCTGTACTTGTACACCAGAAGAGGGCACCAGACTTTATTATAGGTGGTTGTGAGTGACCATGTGGTTGCTGGGAATTGAACTCAGGACTTCTACAAGAGCAGCCAGTGCTCTTAACCTCTGAGCCATCTCTCTAGCCGCCCCCGCCTCCAAGGCTATATCTTATGGCAAGAAAGAGACAGATGCCTGACTGCACACATAAGCAAACAGGTAAAAAGTTCATCTCTTCTAAAGCAGCAGTTATAGTGAGCCCTTATCTTTATCCTACTCCCAGAAGAGCCTGAGATCTTCCCACTTGCCCACTCTGAGCCTCTGGAGGGTTCACAGGACAAAAAAAGACTTCTCAGCTTCCCCTGCTGCTCTGGCCCAGAGCACAGCTCAGCTGCTCCTTTGGTTTCTATGTGTCAGTGTGCTTTTTGAGTGTGCTTTGTTTTTATTACCACCAACTCTTCTCCATGCTACTTATCTTTTTTGAATTTCTGTTCTAGAAAATTATTTCACTGATTTTGACAGAGAGTAAAGATAAATATACATGTTCAATCTACCAGCTTTAATTACAACTGTCCTGATTCATTTTTTAAATGTTTTCCATTTAATCTTTCATATCATGGACTGGCAAGAAGGCTCAGCAGGTATGAATATGTATGCTTTCCACCTCCCCTGACACAAACAGACCAAATAAATAAATGTAAAACATGTGATTATAACAAACTCACAGAAGTTCTTTATTTCCTATTTCCTGGACCTCCAACATTGAAAGCTATTAAAGCCAAACTGCATGCCTTACCTGAGGAACAAGACTGACATGGATATTACAAAAGTTCTCCCTCTTGACCTTGAACTGGAACTGACGGAAGGCCTCAATGAAGGGCATGCTTTCAATGTCTCCCACTGTGCCACCAAGCTGAAAGGACACACAGTCTCAGAGGTTAACACTGAATCTCTATTATGTGCTATCCCTCAATTCAGTGCCCAGTTACAGTGTACCTGCAAACTCCTTGCCTTGCAGAAGAGGACATCAGTCTTTGGACACTGCTGTGTACTCAAAGTTGATGCTGTTAAAAAGTTTCCTGATTACTTCTAGAATACTGCAGATATTGTCACAGCATTTTAGGAAAATGTTGGTGTTTGAAAGGTACCAGAAGCTGGGAGTGGTGACGCATACTTTTATGCTCAGCACTTGGGAGACAGAGGTTCTGTGATAGTTCAAGGCTAGCCTGGTCTACAAAGTAAGTCCAGGACAGCCAGAGCTGTTACATAGAGAAATTGGGTTTCCAAAAACCAAAAATGGGAAAGACAAAAAAAAAAAAAAAAAAAAAAAAAGTACCAGGAGCCAGGGGCGGGGGCAGGAAGGGAAGCATTTGCCCATCCTTAATCCCTGCATTTGGGAGGCTGAGGCAGATGGATCTCTGTGAGTTTGAGGCCAGCCTGGTCTATAGAGCTAATTCTAGAACAGCCAAGGCTATACACACAGAAACCCTGTCTCAAAAAACAAACAAAAATTCTAGGAACAAGACCATAATTCTTTTAATTCACTTTAGAATTTCACTTTAGAGTCACATAGGATGGATGGATGGATGGATGGATGGATGGATGGATGGATGGATGGAAAGAAGTGGGGGAGTGACAGACAGTGAAATCTAGATGTGTTTCCTTAGTTAAGTATAAATAACTTTTCTAGTAAAACCCACCAATTATAACAAACTGCTGGGACTTCTAAGCTCCAACTCTGGAATGAAGAGACAGCAGAACAGAAACAAAAAGGAAGCTGGGGGATGAACTCTGCCAGAGGTAAGCAAAGGGACAAAAATGTATCCTGCCACTCTGAGTCAGTGTTACATGGTCCAGCACACACTGAAGAGGGCAGCTGCTTCCCCTAAGAACCATTCCACCTACTGCTGCACACTGCATGGACAGGAATGGAAGGATAGGTTTTCACTAGGTATGGTCCTACTGGTAGCTAAGGAGAGGAATGACTGAACTGTTCTTACAGGCAAGAATCATACAAACCTCAATAACACACACTTGAGGTTCTAAGCCATCTTCGTCTACAGGTATTAACGCCTGTCTCATCACCCACTCCTGGATTGCATCTGTGATGTGAGGGACAACTGAGAAAGAGAAAAGAAACCTATAACTTACACTTTGTCTGTCAATCAGCATTTAATACATTAACTGCTAAAACAAACCAATAAACTTTTTTGCCTAGATAAACAAACAATAAGGTATACTTTTTGGCCTAAATAAGTAACAGTGTCATAAAAATACTTTTGAAGGAAGTGCCTTTAAATGACTCAATAAATCTTTGGGCTCACACTTCCCTCGGCCTTCTTTCCAGATTTCTAGGCTGTTGCTAGAAGCCAGTGAAAAGAACAAAGCCAAGAGTGGCTCCTCCGTAAGCACCTCAGAACAGCTGTGCTATGCCACACATAGGCTGACCACCCTATTGTTCCCAGCTGAGGCTGCAGTGGGTACAACATACCTGAGTGCTTTATAGGAGCAAATGAACTGCTAGAACCCTGTGCCATTTGTTTCTAATTTATCAAAGTATAGATAATCTACCACCAGACACCTAACAACACAGCAGAGTGATGAAAAGCACAGCATATAGGGTCATGCCCCAATTCACCACCCACTAACTGTGGCTCACTGATTTAATAGGATATAAAAATAAAAAATTGGGCTGGAGAGATGACTCAGAGGTTAAGAGCACCGTCTGCTCTTCCAAAGGTCCTGAGTTCAATTCCCAGCAACCACATGGTGGCTCATGACTATCTATGAATCTAGTGCCCTCTTCTGGGGTGCAGGTGTACATGCAGGTAGAACACTGTATACATAATAAATAAATAAATCTTTAAAAAAAATTCCTTCTTGCTGGGTGCAATGGTGCACGCCTTTAAACCCAGCACTCAGGAGGCAGAGGTGAGTAGATCTCTGTGAGTTTGAGGCTTGGTCTACAAAGCAAGTCCAGGACAGCCAGGGCCACACAGAGAAACCCTGTTTCAAAAAGCAAACAAACAAAAACAAAGAAAAGAAGAAAGAAAGAGAGAGACAGAGGCAGAAACTACCTCTTTCTTTTTACACTTTGCGTCTTCATCTATCGAGTAGAGGCTACCCCTACTTCTAAGGATCTTATAAGAGAGCTGTGCATCCAGGACTCAGGAACAACCAGCTACTGTGGGACACGTGAGAATCAGTTGTTGGACTCAAGACTGCAAGTTCCTAAAGGACAAAGGTGTCTGTTTGAAATGATCTAGGATTAAGCAGCAGTGCTCTTACACAGACAGCCATTATCTGGGTCACATGGAGCAGCCAAGTGATCTACAATAATCAGAATTCACCACTCAAGTTTAAACTCTTTAGTACTCAGTGAAAGGCTCACACAAGAGCCACTGGATGACTGCTCTGTTGCTCCAGACCATAGAGTATCAGCCACGGCAGTCTCCCCTCTAGTTCTTGCCCACAGATCCCTGTGGTCTGGGGCCTTTGTACCTATGGCCTCCTTCACTCCTGACTGGCTCCTAAGCTCAAGCTGTCTCTTGGAGGTCCAACCACCTGTCCGGAATGGCTTTCCCAGTCATGTTTTCTGGCCTTGCTCTTTATTTCCTACACACCTCCTATCAGACATCTCATTTAATTTGTTTTCTGTCTGTCCCATAGCCAACTAACATAAGGACAGTGACCTCAATGATCTCTTCATCACATATGCTGAGCACCAGTAAGGGTCTGACCACATGAGTATTCAATGAACATTTTATGATGATGAACAGAAGAACAAGAACAAGTGCACCAGAACAACAAACTGCACAACTGACGTAACCTTAATTCACAACAGACCCCTCTATGTGTCAGTAAGGTGTAGCAGCAGCATACTGATGCAGTCCTTTAACCCTTAACAACTCAAGAAACAGAAGGCTTTACCACCTCCACGTTACAGAAAAGGTGTACACAGGGCTAGTAAGTAACAGAGCTAAGCCCCAAATTATGAAATGATTAAGCTAGAATCTGGCCAGGGCAGCCCCATGCCAGAGCCAGGTGTAAGACTGAACCTTAGCTCTCAGTGCAGCAAAGGCAAAATGCAAATTTGCTCTTATAACTAACAGGAAAGCAATGGCCCAAACTAGCATACTATCATTCCATTAGACCAATGGTGTCCCAATGTCACCTTTTCAAAGCAGAACACTTTCCCCAAATGACTACAGAAAATCCCAGAAGAGTCAACAGATGTCAGCTGAGCTGGTAAAAGCTCAAGAGGGCCCAGAAGCCCACTTCTCAGACTCCCACTAGCCCACATGACACAGATAAAACGCCTAAAAACCAACATATGCAATGGAAGCTCATTTCCTCATCACTTACACAAGCCACCTCCTATAATGCCCAATCAGACTGCCTTCACTGCTCAGCATGTAAAAGCAACAGCTCACTGGACTTTAACCATGCTGTCATGCTGGACTGACAAAACGAATGCTATTACTAGAGCAACAGCAGCTTTCTCCAATTATTTATTGAGATTAAAAAACAATCATACTGATTATTCATGCACTTCTGAATTTTCAACTGAAAGGATATTTTGGTATTAATACTTTGACAAAATACTGAAATCACATAAAAATAAATTTTGATACTCAAAAGAAATTAAAGTGACTAATAATTTATGCCTTAAAGGTTAATCTTACCCTGGACAGTTTTTCCCAAGTAATCTCCTTTGCGCTCCTTATTAATGACATACTGATATATCTTCCCTGTGGTCAGATTATTGTCCTTGGTAAGGCGGATATCAAGGAACCGCTCATAATTTCCCAAGTCAAGGTCAACTTCTCCACCATCATCCAGCACAAAGACTTCTCCTGCAGTGAAGAGTAAACATGAGCATGATGAAGGAAATGAAAAACTCATTTGCCATGGTGCAATTTCAATCTCAAAATATAAACATTCAGATGGAACAAAGTATGCATAACCTGATTACAAAACAAGAACATCATTTCTAGAATATTAAATGTCACAAAAAAATTACCAATTATTCTCCTAAAGAGTATGCTTCCAGCCTGAATTCATTCTTTATCAGTACAGTTAAAAAGCATGGAAGGGAGGAAAAAGCCCAAGCATGAAGGCAGTAGGTGAAGAAACTTTACAGTAATAAAGCATCTTGAGCAAAAGACCTACTGGAGCAGAAAATGTTCAAGAACAGAAGCAGGATGATTTGAAATCTCTATGACATACACACAGAGAAGTGCTACTGCGTTTAAAAGCCAGCTTCTGAGCTACACTTTCATTCTAAGTAGTTATTCAGCAGCTCAGGTTGCTCCATTCCTTTGTTATACATTTATTCTTTGCAATTTCATGGTGGAAATGCTGCCTAGAATGATTCATTCCTACCATCAAAATGGAAAGGAAAACTGTCTTATATCACCCTTCAGAGAGAGAACCCATCTTCTGCTAAGAACGTTCTATTAAGGTTCCTCCAAAGGTAGGAATGCAAGTGCTAGCATGCACAAAGCCCTGGGTTCAATCCCCTAGAACTGACTGGGTAACAACAAAAAAGTCCATTTAGTATATTGATCTTCTGACACTACTTATTACTAATGGCAGTATATATCCTTACACATTTTTCCTTCAACACCAGAAAGTGAATATTTAGAAACTTTTAAAACTTGAAAGCCCAAAGGCTTAGAATTATGTTTTTATGACAGGGTCTTGCTATGAAACACTAGCTAGCCTTGAACTATGTAGCCCAAGCTGGTCTTCAATTCATTGTATAGCCAAAGTTGGCCTTGAGCTCACTAATAGTTCAGGCCCGCCACAAACTTGCCATCCTCCTGTCTCAGCCTCCTAAGTGCTAAGATTATTACTCAAAACCAGACCCAGTTTTAAGGTATGTTTTAACAATGCTTCTCAAATTACAAACAAAGAATGTTGGATATGCCACTCATTTATCACACCATAAATAAGAATTCAGAGCTGGGCAGAGATGGTGCACACCTTTAATCCCAGCACTTGCAGAGGCAGGCAGATTACTGTGAGCTCAAGGCCAGCCTCATCTACAGAGCCAGTTCTAGGACAACCAAGGCTACACAAAGAAATCCTGTCTAGAAAAACAAAACAAAAAAAGAATTCAGCAACAAAGAAGTAAAATGCTATCTTCTAGCCTTCTTCACAGTTTCAACTTTCATTCACTTCAAAAGATCCTCATTATAAATATTATTCAAACTCTAGTAGGAAAAAAAACAAAAACAAAAAAACACAGAATCCCAAGCTTATTCATCCTTAAAGTCCAGCATCTATCTGTTGTTTGATCTCTACAAAACAGCCCTCTCTGTTTGAAAGACACCTGTCGTGACAGGGCCAAAATCTACTTACCGATGCAATTTCTAAAGACTGGGGCCACAAAACAGCATATTCCATCTTCTCAAATATGCTCAATTTTTCAAATAAAATGATAAACTTTCATTCAGCTGCCACTACCCTTATCTCAAACCCTTATTTTACATCTATTATAGAAACCCTAGGATTCTAAACGATTAAGTTACAATTAAGATAGCTGCTTCTTCTTACTTAATCCAAGGGAGAAAAAGTATCATTATGACACACTAAAGATCATTCTGGAAGGCAAGAAGTGCAAGTTATGCAAGATGTAAACCTAATCTCCAAAAGCTAGCATGCTCTCCCACAGTCACAATTACTATTTAAATGAGAGAGAAAAAAATGCAGTTTTCTTACCATGTTCATAAGGAGAGAATGTTCCTGCATCAATGTTAATATAGGGGTCAATTTTAATTGATGTTACATGTAAGCCACATGACTTGAGTATTGTGCCCACACTGCTGGCAATGACTCCTTTTCCAATTCCTGATATAACACCACCAGTAACTAGAATGTACTTCATTTTCCTTTTTAACCTAAAAGGAAAATTTATACATAAATATACATATTTATACACATATATCTGTTTGGGGTTTTTTTCCATACAAGGTTTCTCTGTGTAGCCTTGGCTGTCCTGGACTCACTTTGTAGACCAAGCTGGCCTCCAACTCACAGAGATCCTGAGATCCTCCTGCCTCTGCTTCTGCCTCCCTGAATGCTGGAATTACAGGCATGCGCCATCATGCCTGGCATATACACACATACCTTACAAATAAGACTTCATAGCTCAGTCAAGATTGTGAGACGATACTGAGACACTTGCCTGATATCTGGGGTGGGTGGGGAGGAATCACAATCTTAAATGAGCAAGCAAGCATTCCAATTCTCCTTGAAAGAAAGAATGGCTTTGTCTAAACTACAGTGTACATATGGACAGCACAAATCTCCTCTAAGTTTTTTAAGACTGATCAACAGGAAAGAACTGTTAAGCATTTAAGAAAAAGTCATACAAAACCTCTAGTTCCTTCAATTACATGTAGTTCTCATCTGTACTTTAATAAAGTTGCTTCTTGGCAGCAATCTCTCCTAGGTATGCCCTGAGGGATGATACAGGCTAAAGGCAATGGAACTTGTGAAATAACTCAGTGCAAAGCACACAATGAACAGGAGTAGATCAGAGAAGATCACATTAAACCCAAAGAGTACTAATGTAGTGGTAGGGAATAAAAGAAACACCTGAGAAAGTAGGGTGGATTTGGGACCAGCAGAGTCAAGTTATGAGCGACCTGCACAAATTAAGACTGATAATGCTATTGCATATGTATCCAATAAGATGAAACAATTCTTTGTATATTACAATATAAAGCATATTATAGGTACACCTCATAATCCTACAGGACAAGCAGTTGTAGAAAGAGCCAATCATACCTTAAAAGAGATGCTTATTAAACAAAAAGAGAAAAAAAAAAAACCCTAGGAAGAGACTAAACAATGCTTTAAACTTTCTTAATATTGGTGAAAAAGAAACAACAGCAGCTGAGAGACACCGGGTTATAGAAAAAAAAAAAACCTGAAGAACCAGGTCAACAAATATACTATAAGGATATGTTGACAACAGAATGGAAACCTGCAATAGCTTTGAGATGGGGACATGGTTATGCTTATGTAACTACAAGGAATGACAAAATATGGTTACCAACAAACTTAATAACGATTAGATCTGACCAGGGAAAATCTCCTATCACCTGCGACATGAATGTCTTCACAAAACAAACAGCCCAGGTGATTCCCTCTCCCATGACAGCTTCCAGCAAAGCATCACATAACTGAGTCTTCAAAGAAATCCACTTCAGTCAAATGTCAAGTGAAAGCAGCATCAACAAGCAATGAAACAGTGACACATCAAAAGAGTAGCACCAGTCCCCAAATGTGATCAAAAAGAGAAAATGCAGTCACCAAGTGGCAGGAAATGCTTGCTTTAATATGGAGAAGACACTTTCCTCCTCTAGAAACCCTCTGTGTGAAGCCAAATTAAAACAAAAATAAGCTACAGAACAAGGAAAGGAGAGTTCTGCTGGAAGCATTTCCCAGCTCCACTCCTCCCAGGAAAGAGAATGAACACACTTGGCAAGGAAATCATAATGCTTGAAATACCTTTCCCCTCAAACAGCAAGGAATGCTATCCTGCTTTTTCTATCCTGATGAAGTTGTTTCAAAAGTATATTTCTGCAAAAGTCAACTGCGTTTTCCAGAAAGGTTTGAATAGGTGTGGTACCTACCCATGCCCGTAAAGAAAGGAAAGAGGAAGGGCTGCTCCAAGTTCAAAGATAATCTGATCTACATACATAGGGAGACCCTATCTCAAAAGAGGGAAAGGTGACATTATGGGCAGAAAGATCAAAAGAAATGCTGACTTATCTTTAACCCAAGACCTCCAGGAGTGTCCTCACACTAAGTGCCGATTACTTGAGAGAAATGCGGTCACCTCATAATTGAATAGTTCCTTGTTAACACATGTATATCAAACTTGGCTATATTTTAGATGTATCCTAACCTGGCATACCTTACTAAGACTATAGCCTAGACACTGAGTCGATTTGCTGATGTTCCTACAGATTCCTAGGCCACTGTGAATTCAGAACATGCTGCTACTCCAAGAATCACCTCTTGTCCCCGATTTACTCAAAGATGGTAGATCTTTCTCTAGAGAAGATTCCAGCAGTATCACACAGTGACTGGCAAAAAAATATTCCAACAGCCACAAAGACATAGTTGGAGAGGACCCAGTCCTTAACATTTACAGACTGCCTCCCACGGGAGAGCCACTCACAAGCTGGGGGCACCATAAAAATAAGTCAGAGTTGGGTCCACACTTCAAGTTGCTGGCAGTCCAGCTAGGACATTTAAAAATAAATGAGTAGCGGGGTTTCATAGAAGAAAGCAGAGAATACACCAGGGCTGTAATGGGGAAGTAAGAAAGGCCATCTTTCAGTGCCAAGACCAGGTAGCCTCAAGGGGCCCTTCAGAGTACAGGGAGGGTTGACCTGGAGTGAAGGGAGGATCCAGGTGCTTTTGTCTTGAAAACCTGCCTTGCATCGGGCCTTAAATGACTGAATGAAAACGAGCTAAAGAATGGCAAAGCGTTGAGAAAGCAGGTGAGCACAGGGGTGCACCAAGAAAAGAGGATGAGGGCGGGGGGGGGGGGGGGGGGCAAGGGGTCAATTCATGGGCAAAGTTGAATGTCCACGTTGAACTTTTTCCTGGAACTAACAAGACACAAAAGGTTTTCAAGTACAGGAGCAATTCAGATCAAGACGCACCAGGGAAATCAAAGGATGAAAAACTTGAAAGCTTGTTTCAAACAAAAAAAAAAAAAAAAAAACAAAAAAAACTGAAGTTGTAAAACCAAGCTCAGAATCCACCGCCCATGCGCTGGAGATCTAAATCCACCTCCCCGAGGCGCCTGACGCCTGGGTTCGCACCGCCGTAAAAAGAAAAAGAAAAAAAAAAAAAAAAAGTGGGACGAGAACCACAGCAAGTGCCCGCGTCACCGGGCTGCTGAGGATTTCAATAGTGAGTGTGGACGTAAGGGGGGCCACGCTGACGTAGCGAACCCAACAACGCCAGCATCGTCGCCCCGCACTGCAAGGGGCGACAGCGGCTGGGCAGCCTGGGCCGTGAGGCCCAGCGAACCTACAAGCCCCTTCCTCCCGCGGGGAGGGCCGGGAAGATCACTAGGCCGACAGCCGGGCCCCACCACAGGCTGGGGCTCAAGGAGGCCCTTCCGCGGCGGCCCTCGGCGCTCTCTCCCACCCCATGCCCGGCGGCCCGCGCCGCCCGCCTCGGCCCCTCTCTGTAGCCGGGCCACGCGGCCCGCGCGCGGGAGCCGGCAGCTCGCATCCCGGGACGGCCCGCCCCGCTCCCGTTAGACATACAGCCCATTGGGCAGGACGCCGGGCCACCTCTCCCCTGATTGGTGAGAAGAGGCGTTTATCACCCCGGCGGCGTGGCCGTCCTCGCCGGGCTCTGTCAGCGCCACAGGCTCCTGCACCGGGCGCCGTTCCTCCGGGGACCCCTGAAGTCAGCCTACCTGAGGCCGGCTTCAGAGTGTCGCGTCAGGCACTGCAAGGCCGACGCGCTCGGGGTGAGCCTCGGACAGCCAGTGCTCGGCCGGGCCGCATGCGCCAGCCGTCTTTCTGAGAGGCGGGCTCAAGGCGGTGCGCACGCAGAGGGCGGGGCAGGGCGGGCCCGGGAGGCGGGGCGAGGGCGCGCATGCGCGGGGCGCCCCCTCGCGGCGTGCTGGGTGGCCGCTGCGGCTGGGCCCCGGGAGTGGTGGCTTCCACGGGCGTCTTCGCCCGCGGTGTGGAGGCCGCTGTGTGACTCACGTCTGCCCGGTACACTGAGGGCCGTCGCCTTCTCCCACAATAGCCGGTGGACCCTCTCCTGTCCGCCTTCCCTCTGGGTACGTGCCAAACCATCTCAAGATCTCGCCCCGAGCGGCCTCCTCCTGATGCTTCCTCATCTCCCTCTCAGCGACTAGCCAGCCTGCCTTTCCTCACAACGTGCCCTGACGGCGGCTGCTTTAGAATAACGGTCGCGAGCCTGGTTCCATCCGGCACTAAGTGTAGACAGGCAAACTGGCCCGCTCCTGGCAATCGGGATTTTCACCAATGCTTGGGACTGGGGGAAGTTAATGTCCAGTGGGATGTGAACACGAGTGTGGGACTGGTCAAAAAGGGGGATAAGCAGAGACGGTTTATTGGAGGTAAGAACAGAAAATGAGGCAGAAGAAAAAGCCTGTGTGCACACTCCAGGCGAGGCCCAGAAGAGCCAAGCAGAGTGGACAGGGCAGGCTGGAGAGCTTGGAAGGGCAGCTCCATGCAGAGCATTGTGAACAAAAGGTTTTCGTTCCCCTGCGGCAAGTGGAAAGCCACAGAAGCTTCTAAGGAGGGGATTTTGTCTTTTGAGTTGCGCGTAAATCCATGTGAGTAAATTTGAACACCCTCCACCCACAACAACTACACAAGGGTTCAGCGCTGTACCCTGAACTCCAGTAGTCCTGCTTCCTTCCTTAGAAGCAATTTACCACTTTTTTTCTGTCTTCCCTGAAAGAGTTAAAGAAAAGGTATGTCCACCATGAGCATACTGGTTTTTCAGGAAAATGACTCAAACAGCTGGAATCCCAAAAAACCAGTTAGGAGACAGCTCTCAGAGACTTCTGGACTCTTCCAAAGCTAAACCAACACTACTTTCTGAATCTGCCAGCATACCCAAACTGCTCAGCTCCAAAAAGCCTCTACAAGAGGGATAAAAGTGAACCCCTCCCCCAGACACTCTTCTAGGGGACCCCTTCACTCCCCTCCAGTCTCCTTCCCATATTCTCTCTATTGAGGGTCTTGTTTCCCACTTCACCAAGGAAATGGAAACCAACAAGAGAATGTCTGTCAACCTGCTTTGACGTGTGCAGGCAACACTGTCTTTCCTCCCCATACTTGGAACAAGTTACTGCAATGGAGAGGTCAGGCTCTCCCCCACTGCTTCAGGTGCCATATATGCTTGTCAACTAAGCAATGTCTGGAACGTCTCCCCTCCTCCATTACCGGTTTTCTCTTTCCACTACCCCAGGGCCCCTGTTGGGGAGTCTACCTATGTCTCCCGTTCACCTCCTATTGTTGTCACTCTTCAGGGAAACATGAAAAATGTTGGCACTGGCTATCCCTGGTTTTTGTTTTGGTTTGTTTTGTTTTGCCCTCTCTCCTTGTGCAAGTTCTAGTCAGCCATTGTTCATGTTCTGTGAAATGAACTCTTAAATGTTTTCTTTAGTAGTCAGTCAGTAAAGCCTGTCCAACCCAGTTCGTGTTCTGTAATTTCAACAAAAATGTTTTGGTCAAAAATCAAGTTCATGTTTCCATACCCTTCTCTGAACATCGATGCAGGTTTTAATCTCATATCTGTTCTCAGGCCCTAAAGGAAGACAGTATGTCTGTGGTATGAGTGCATGTGTGTGTGCATGCACATGCTTGGACTGCCTGTCTTCCTAACCTTAAACTTGGATGCTTCTGTGTGCATCCATAGTGTGTCCCAAAACCAGTCCCCTAAACTGACATCTGTAGCATCTTATGTCCCAGCTATTCATTCTCTCCCTAAAATGGTCTTCTCATGGCTTCCAGGAAACCACAGTTATCATTTTCTTCTAATTGTATAGGCATCTCCTTGTGGATCTCCCTAGGTTCTCTTCTTGACCTGTAAATACTGTTCTGCCATGGGTCCCATTCTAAAAGCCTCCATCTAAAATCATCTTCTAAATAATCATGTTCAGAATGACAGCTCTGAGGTTTATCTTCTCAGCCTGGACTTGTTTTGAACTTCATGAGAAATTCCCCTCCAATGCAGTCCTTAGTCAGCTAGGCATCTTGGGCTTCAACTACACTTGGCTCTTTGTGATGCCCTTCCTGGTTGACAGCTCCTCAGAGAATGAGGTCAAGGTGAGGTTTCTATAAAAGGCAGGTAGCCCGTACTTGATGTGGCACAGAGAACTGAGCTCTGACTTTATAGCACAGAAGTAGAAACGTAGTGAAATATGGCTCATCCCAAGAAAACTGTGTTTCAATAGAACTCACGAAGTACAGAACTGTATGAAGGCCAAAGCATGCCAGTCCCTAAATGAAATGTATGTATTGCCTAGCTTCTTCCTTGTCTGAGCAGGAAACAAAACCTGTAACCCCTTTTTCACCCAAGAAGTAACCCTGGATATATAGGTATATAAATCAAACATTTGCTGATAGTAGATCATAAATATAAGATAATTCTTTGTTATATATGTGTATATGACATTAAAGATGAAAGAAATTTGTATACTACTGAAATAGATGAGCTTGTTTATTTTTACATAAAGAAATTGCTGGGAAGATGATTCAGTGAGCAAAGCACTTTCTGCACAAGCATGACATGAGGACCAACCTGAGTTTGCATTTCCAGGACCCACGTGAAAAGATGGGCAACACAGCTCACACCAATGACCCCAGCACCTGGAGGCAGAATCAGGTAGATCTCAAAGGCCTATTGACCAGGCCAGCAAGTGTGACCAAAAAGGCCAGCTCCAGATTCACTGAGAGATCCTGTCTCAAAAATTGAGCTGGAGAAATATTTGAGGAAGACATTCTAATGTCAACCTCTGGTCTCTTAGCCTCACACGTGCCCATAAAAATGATAACATGTGCACACTGAATCTTGGTTAAATATGTGATAATGCAGGACATAGGATATCTTACAGGTTTTCCAGAGTTGATGAATTTTATAATCAATCATCAGTACAAAATGTCAGAACTATGCTTATACCCACTTCAGAAGTTGCTGGAAATTCTGTCCTAATCCCAAGCCAAAATTCATTTAGTGATTCTTTAAAAAATTAAGATCAAGTCAGCAACCCAAACAGAAATTTTTTATTCAAACATTATTTTCCTTTATTTTTAATACAAAGACAAACTTCAATTTCTGAACCTTCTACCTGCGCTTCCAAAGTGCAAGAATTACAGACATGGACCACCCAGCTTTATTGTTTATTTATGTAGTTAGCCTGATACTGTGCGCTGAACCCAGGGCATACACCGTAACAGACACGCACCCTACCGCCTCATGTGCACTCTAACACAATACAACCCAAATATGTACAAATTTGATACTTACATGCTCTAAGGAATGATGGCAGGAAAATATTAAAACTCTTTTGTTTCCTGTAGTCTAGCTACTAGGATCCTATAAGTGCAGAAAACTCATCATGCCTTCTGTAGTCCATAGCACAGACAGCCTTAAATCTGAACACAGGTGTTTTGGGCAACAGAGTACATATGTCGTATGTCTAGAACCAAGGCTATGGTAAAAAAAAAAAAAAAAAAAAAAAAAAAATCATGATACAACACAACTGAGCACTGTCAAAAGCCATCTGAGATTCATCACACATTTGATTTTGAATTTTTTTGTTTGTTTCCAGACAAGGTTCCTCTGTGTAGCCTTGGCTGTCCTGCTCTCCCTTTGTAGACCAGGCTGGCCTCTAACTCAGAGCAACCACCTACCTCTGCCTCTCAAGTGCTAGGATTAAAGACATGCACCACCACACTTGGGGGATTTTGAATTCTTTTGGGTGGTTGTGTACTCAGAAACTTTGCACAGCGCTCATGCCATCTGAGGTTTTGAGTCAGGCTTTAAGGGAGCTGAGCCCTCCAGCACTCTTCAGTCATCCATTGGCACATGAGCCCCACCCCAGGCCATGTTCCCAGGGGACTTCTAAGACAGCACCCCTCCACACATGCGCAGGTCGTCAGCTTACTGGATGCTGCCTGAGATGTCTGTCACAGCGTGCTGGCATTGCTTATTTACCTGTCTGTCTCTTCTTCCCCAGATTGGGATCTCTTTGAGGTTACTCAATCTTTCTCTGCCTCCATTTCTTTATCAGGTACAATCTTGTTCACCTTTTAATAAGCAGAATCTAACATCTTTCTCAAGAGTACCCTCTAATGAAAACACCCCCACTATCACTATCTTATAGATCAGAAGTTCTCATCCTGTGGGTCTCGACCCCTTTGGATTAAATGACATTTTCACAGGGGTCACCGAAAAACATCAGAACACACAGATATTTACATTATGATTCATAACAGGAGCAAATTTTCAGTTATGAAGTAGCAATGGAAATAATTTTGTGGTTGGGGGTCACCACATCGTGAATAACTGTATTAAAGGGTCACAGCGTCAGGAAGGTTGAGAACAACTGTTCTAGACAATGAAGACCAGACTGCAGTGAATGCAAATGGCCTCCCAAGGCAAGTATGAAGTTCCCTCTCAATCATCCTTCTGTGCTGTCTCCCTCATTCTGCCCAGCATAAAACCTTTACCTTGACCTTCACATCACTGTGTTGTCATTCTGTCTGACAATCTCATAGACTACCTCAGTGAGAGATGGAGCGAGAGAGAGTCAACAACTATTAACAAATGTGTTGTCAGTTTTCATAGATTGAGAATATTCTAAAATTATAGTTGAGATTTTGTTTTTTTTTTGTTTTTTTTTAAGCATATGTATGACACAAATTTCAGGAGACAAAAAGGAAGGTGTGTAACCACACCTATGTCCCGGTTCTCAGTTTCTGCTCAAAGACAACCGCTATTCGAAGTTCTTTATCCAGAAAGGAATGCCCTGTGTGGCTGAGCATGGTGTCACGCGCCT